TCTTTCTTTCTTTCTTTTTTTTTTTTTTTGTCTCACTACATAGTCCAGGCCAGCCTTGCACTTGCTATTAGCCTGGACTGGCCTTGAACTAGTGATATCCTGCATCAGTCTCCTGAGTGCTGAGATTTCCGGTATGTGCTATGATGTTCAGACAGCTGCTGTTTTTGTAAAAACCTTAAATAATTTTAAGCATGGCATGATGGTGCATGCGTAAAATCCAAGTGTTCTGGGAGGCTGAGGCAGAAGAATCAAAAATTCAAATCCAGCCCATGTAACTTAGGGACGTAGCAAAACCCTGTTTCAAAATTTTAAAAGGTGGTAAAAATGTAACTCAGTGTGACAAGGCCTGGGCTCGATCCTCAGTGCTGCCAAAAGAAAAAAAAATTTTTTTTAATTTACAGAAGAGTAACAAAGATTGTACATAGTTCTGACTGCTTGCTACCTGGCTTTCTCCAGGGGTTATCACAACTACAGGATTAATATTGGGACAATATTGTTAACTACACCACTGACTTTATTCATATAAATACTGATGTCTTTGTTTCCCCATTCAAGGATCTAGTCTGTGATATTGCATTGCATTTAGCTGTCATATCTTCTAGTCTCCTCTTGCCTATGACATTCTCGTTTTGTCTTTTAGCAACTTTATGTATTTTTTCCCTATCCACCTTATCACCCTCATCTTTTAATTATTTTTAGTACCTTTATTGAGACATAGTTTACATACCATAAAACTTACCTGATTTAGATATTCAGCTGATTTTTTTTTTTTTTTTTTTTTTTTTTTTTTTGTACCAGGGATTAAACTCAGGACCTTGCACTTGATAGGCTGGCACTAATGCTGCCGAGCTATATCCCTGGCTTCTCAATTAAATGATTTTTAATGTAGTTACAGAGTTATTCATCTGTCACCTTGCTGCTGCTTTTAACAAATAAATTAGGAAGTAATTTTATGAACAATCTGAAAATTAATAGCCTCCTTGCCCCACAGTCCTCTCTTTTTTAAAAATAGTTTTTAATCTTTTATTTATTTATTTAGTACAGGGTCTTACTACGCAGCTCGGACTCCATAATGATCCTCCTGTCTCAGCCTCCCCAGTGCTGGGAGTACAGGTGTGTGCCAGCATGCTCAGTTTCAGTGGGCAGTATGGTGGCACAGCATGCAGTACCAGGGGTCAAACCTGGGTCCTTGTACCTGCATGTGCTTAGAACTCCGAGCTATTGCCCCAGCCTCCACAGTCCTCTCTTGATGAAACTGTCATTTTGATGTGTGTTCTTTCTCCCTTCTTCAATGGTTATAGACATATGTGTATAAAAATAGAGGATTTGGGGTATGTGTTTAAAAATACAAATTACACTTTTTTTTTTTTTTTTTTTTGGAACTGGGGATTGAATTCAATATACTGTGTATGTACTTTTTTTCCCTTTGTAGAGTGTGGACGTGTTCCATATTGGCACACCACGTACTGATTGATCTACCAGATCTGTGCATCTGTTGTGTGGTGATGTGTGGAATCTTATCCTGGTGGACAGGGAGGTTGTCTATAATTTGTGTTTTTTATAAATAATATGTTCTTGATGACTCTAGAAACACAGGTGCCAGTATTTTCCTACAGTAAGTCTTAAACAGCAGTACTGTGTCCTAAAAAAAAAAAAAAAACTATCACTTTTTAGTCTGACCTGTTTTCATTTGTGCCATTCTAATGAATGAAAAATTAATTTCATTATTTCTTTCATTGCTTCTTTGAGAGAGGAGTGATTATAGGCGTGAGACAGGTCTGTGTTTAAAGGGTTTTTTTGTTTGTTTTTGGTGGTCTTGGGGATCAGAGCTAAGCCTGAGCAACTGAGCTCAGCACTGAGCTACATCCCCAGCCCCTTTTTATTTTTTTATTTTGAGATAGGGTCTTGTTAAGTCACTAAGTTGCCCAGAATGGGCTTGAATTTATGATCCTCTTAATTTGGCCTCCAGAGTGCTGGGATTATAGACTTGTGCCACCAGGCCCAGTGGAAAGGTCTTATTTTTGCTACTTATCTTCCTTGAACTTTTTTTGGAACCATACACTTAGGCTCCTTTCTTGTTTACCTAGAGCAGAAATCAAGTTGAAAAAAATGGTAGGTCATTTTTTTTTCTAGTTTTTTTTTTCATATGTATATACATTTTTATCAAGTTTATTGGTACAATTTAGATATACTTAATGATCACATTCATCATGAGAAATTTGTGCCTGTACATGATATATTTTGATTCCTCTTTTGTCCTGTTCCCTTCCCTTCCCTTCGAGTCCACTTTCCCTCCTTACTTACAAAACTCTTTCCATTTTATCTTTCTTTTTTTTCTTTTTGTTTTTCTTTTTTTTTGGCAGAACTGGGGATTGAACTCAGACCCTTGCGCTTGCCAGGCAAGCACTTACTGCATTTTATTTTTCTTTCCTCATTTTTTCTTTTCCCTTCCTTCCTTCCCCTCTCTCCCCTCCCTAGTTCCCTTTTCTGTTCTAGCTACATAAATGGTTCTTTAGCTTATATGGTTTAGCCTAGAAAGTACATGAGGATGGGCGTTGGGGACAGTTTATGGTGGGGTGGGAGTAACAAGGCAGTTATTTAAAAATACAAGTCACATTGAAGAATGGAGACCGAGCCATCCACTTTTTTGGGGACACAAGAAAAAGATGCCTTTTAATAACTGGGAAAGAAGCCAAAGTTAAAGTTTCTATCGCAGGGACTATGATAGGCACAGTACGTGGAACCAGCACATTTAGTAAAACCAAGTTGAGATGTTGGGAGCTCTTAAATCTTCCCCCTTGGACTCAGCTGCTTTGCCAGGATAATGAATTCCGTCTGTTACCACACCGGCCATGTGTGGTCAATGCTTGAGTAACACTAGGATGACAGAGATTTCTCACTGGACTTTGGCTCTCCAAACAACAACAGTTCTCTTTCTTATGCTTCTTTCAGCCTGATTTGTTTTAGGTTTTGGATTTTCTTTTTGGCACCTAGAGTTGAACTCAGGACCTTGTGCTTGCCAGGCAGGTGTTGTGCCACTGAGCTACATCCCCGGCCCTAGCCTGATTTGTGGCAAGTGAATTACCTCCCCCTGAGTTTCCTTATAGATTGATGCCTATGATTTCTCATAGTTTTGAAGTTAAAAGAAGGGAAATTTCACTGTCCTTGCAAGTCATGCCTGAGTTACGTTGATAATAGGAACAGTGCAAAGGCAGTAATTATGTCATCAGAGGCGATGGGGAAGGTTTGGCCAAGAGATGTTTGAAAGTAGTATTTGTAGGTTGTAGGAGGAACACTGAAGCTGGGCGGAACTTAGCTTTCTGATAGGGTGTTTATCCACATGGAGGGAGGAATGAGGGTCTGAATGCCTGCTCTCTCCGGGACTTCTCCTCAGCCTTGTCTCTGGCCGGCTTCTTCTAGAGCCCCTGTAGCGATTGGAGTGGCTGCCCTGTCCACCACTGAGATGCTGGCTGCGGGCCTGAAGGGAAGGGGCTTCTTGGTGCTACACACTTACCAGGACCACCTGTGGTGGGTACAGTGTTTGTTCTGTTTGCAGGGAGCTGGGCTGGGTGGGGGATCACATGCTTGAGATTCGGGGCTTCAACCATGGCCTTAGGCAGTTTGCTTACCTGACTTCATTTCCTTGCCAAGTGTGGGGAAAATATTGATATTTTTTCCAGTTTAAGGAAGAAATTAGCAAGAACTTTGATGATTTCTTTAGGTGAGTGTTAGAATTGTAGACCTGAAGACCTCTGGGTTGGTGATACTCAGTTGTTTTTTTTTTTTTTTTTTTTTTTTTTTTGGCAGAACCGGGGATTTAACTCAGGCCCCTGCACTTGCCAGGCAAGTGCTTATTCCATTGAGCTGTCTCCCCAGCCCCGTGATACTCATTTTTAAATAACTGCTTAGTCAGGCCTTTCCTGCCACACATATCAGGTGACTTATGGCCCTGTGCCAGGTGCTTCTGGGTCTACATCAAAGCAAGATGGACCCTCGAACCCCAGGATAACTGATTACTTTTATGTTTTTTTTGTTTTTGTTTTTGGTTGAAATTGTTTTTTAGGTAAGGCTTTTTATTTTTATTTTTATTTTTTATTTTTTGGTGGTACCGGGGATCAAACTCAGGACCTTGTGCTTGCCAGGCAAGCTTTTATTCCACTGAGCTATCTCCCTGGCCCCCCCAAGATTTATATTTTGGTTTTGGTGCCAAAGACCGAACCCAGGGCTTCCAGCTTGCTAGGCAAGTGTTCTCCTGAGCTAAATTCTCAGCCCCCTGATTACGTTTATGGTATCCAGGTCTCAGATCACCTTACACTGTGGAAGTTCACACATTCTGACCATAGCATTTGCTTTCCAGAGCCACCTTCCAGTTCTCTTGTCATTTGATAAAAGTGGTAACAGTGTACCGGGCTTTAGGCCCAGTGCTGTGGCTTGCTGGTACAAACTCGCCCTTCACCTGAGGTGCAGCCTCGCCTACTTTGAGCAGATGTCTGAGGGCATATGACTGACTTCTCTTAGCACTTTGTTTTTAGTTCTCAATCAGGGAAAGAAGTCACGTACAGGTCTTAACCAGTTTTCAGCAGCAGCTGCCTCAGCCCATCACCCCTGCTTTAAAAAATACTTTAAAAGATACTACAAGCCAGGGAAACAGCCAGTGCATAAGCACCAGCCCGGCAAGTACAAGGGACTGAGTTCGATCCTGGTGCCACAAAAAACGAGACAAGACAAACCTCTCCCCCACAAAAAATAAAACAAAAAAAAAAAAACAGTTTTAACTAAGGTACTTTTTACCTGTCAGAGTAGCCTGAACAGATACTTTGGTCTCACAGTTCCAAATACTAATAAGGCTTATTGCAGCTACAGTTAAAACTTGGTTTGATTTACATAATCTTGGCTAAAGTAAAGTTTTTTACCTCTCCATTCTCTGCTGTGTGGCACTGCTTTTTATCCTGTCTTCCTATGGTTCAAGACTCTCAGCCCTGCAAATTAGAATGCATTTGATTTAGCACAGGAGCTTGAGAATGTGTTTGCTTTTTTTTTTTTTTTTTTTTTTTTTTTTTTTTTGAGTACTAGGGATTGAACAAAGGGCCTTCTGCATCTTTGACCCTCTTTAAAATATCTTGAGATAGGGTCTTGCTAAGTTACTGAGTTGGCCAGGCTGGGCTTGAATTTGTGATCTTCCTGCCTCAGGCTCCCCGGGAGCTGGGATTGTGGGTGCACACCACCACACCTGACTTTTCATTTACTGTTTTTATCTTGTTTAATTCAAAGTGGTTCTTTTTTGTTCACACAGAATGCTTTTAGGGGTTTTTGTTTTTGAGATGGGGTCTTGCTGTGTGTTTCAGGCTGTCCTTGAACTCTGTGTAGCCCAGTCTGGCCTCAAACAGCAGTCTTCCTGCCTTAGCCTTCTGAGTGCTGAGATTACAAGTGTATACCACCATGTCCAGCATAGGGGTTTATTTTAACTGCTTTTACTTTTTTTTTTTTTTTTTTTTTTTT